TAAAATATTTTGCTTCATTCTGTATTTGTAAGTCAAATTTAAGTGTTCTTCTCCTTTAATTATAATTTTTAGTTCCTTCTAGTTCCCTCTAGTGTCCAATTTTTAAAGCTTTATCTTATTATTAAAAAAAAAAAAGAATTCAAAACAAAAGCATTTTCCCATGAGAAGAATTCTTATAATTAATTCCAAATTCTTATTTCAAATTTATCTGGAACCTTAGTCCATTTGTAACTTTCTAAAATCAAAGTTTAAATCACCCTTTTGCTGTTTATCCCCCCCCCCCAATTTTTAAAGTCCTTAAACTTGTATTTAAAACTTCTTTTGCTAAGGATAGAAGGAAACTCACCCAGTGCTGTCAAACCTATCAATCCAAAGGTTTCAAATAGCTGAAAAGCAGTTCACAAGCGATTTCTGAAAGTGCATAGAAAAGGAAGTATGCAAACTTAGTATCCTTTTAAAGGCACCAACCATAGTTTGAGCAAGATGGCTATTCCATCATCTCTCAGAGCTCTAAACCTGCTGAAGACCACTGTCTTGTGGTCTCCTCACAAGAAGCAACTGTCTGGAGTACTTGTGGGTGATCTCCTCTCCTTGTCTGGAGAGGTTTCAAAGAGCCCGGTCTACTCGCCGGCTCTTCATTCCACCGCAGTCATCAGTTCCACTTTTTGTGGAGCCATCTTCAGTCCACCCTTTCTTCCCTGGAAGTCAGTTGAAGGCATTTTAAGATGTTCAGATGGTGATAGAAAGCTAGTAGTTAACATATTGTCTGCTGCAAGTAATGAACAACTGTGTATAAATCTATGCTTCTTTGCACTTTTTATATGGAAGGGTATATCAAGAGAAACATAAAGGTTGAACAGTGTGAACAGGTTACTTAAGAGATGTAATCAATAATGAATGGGTGCTGAATGAATGTGGACTGAATATAAAAATTGAGTGAGAAACCACAAAAGTATGTTGAGGAAAGGTCATGTACAGAGAATGAATGAGGACTGAACTGCACAAATATAGGAAGCTAGAATGAATGGGTGAAGAAGGGGTAGGCTGAGAAATTCCTATTTGGATAAAATTGGTCAGTTTCTCAAAAAAAGGTGAAAAGTTGAAAAACAAAAGGCATTGTGTGAATTGCTTTATGGACAAGGTGGAAGTAAGTTTGGTTTGCAAAGAGAGAAAAGTATGAAGAAGTATCATGAATGGTATTAGTGTAAATTAGATTTAGATATATTTTTCTTTTATGAATACTTTTACCTGTTTTTTCTTACTCATATGTTTCGCATACCTTTGTTTATGCTGCAGGGGAATAATGTGATAGGTCTGTATGCACATGTTTTCAGCAGGCCCTACTCTCAAGTAAGCCTGTGAAAGATTGCAAACTAATTCAATAATATAATCTGTGATGTAAATATCTGTCTGACCTGGTTCGCACATCAAAAGCTATGGACTGTTTGCCCAGGGTTTAAAGAATAAATGACAATGACTGTTTTTATCGTATGCCACCCAGAGTCACATTCGTGAAATGAGTGGCTATATACATTTGACTAAATAAAATAATCAATGGGTATAGAAAACAGTTTGGTTCACAAAACAAACTACATTATGGTTTAGCTTACTGCATGAATCAAGCCTATTTCCATTCCAATCCATGTTTTTATTAGATGAATGGTACAACTGAACTAATTAGATCTCTTAGTTTTAAACAGGTCAAAGCAAGTGTACTTTTATGGCATGATTATGCCAAACAATATAACATTATTTATTATAATTTATTGTACATAGTGTATTTGCAGTTACCACTGGTTTAAATAACTGAATCCAATTAATAAGTTTAGATAAACTGGAGAGACACTGTTTGTACAAACGGGTCAGGTATCATTTGAAAGACTATTAAAAACAAATGAACTTGTTCTCTTTTATGTTTTAAAAATTTTATTAGTAGCATAAACACTGTCTTAACTTGTGGTTAAAAGCATTGGATTAGGACAGATATGGCTGCATGCTGTTGTCCTGCTTGTGAAACCTCTGTCCAGGTACATGGGAAAATAGCCACTTGGTCATGGCTGTGAGAAAAAGTCTCCCAGCTGGAATATTCTTGGCCAGGATCAATGGTCATGAGATGAGATATAAGAGGATTTGTCCTCCCAGCACATCTCCATAAGGCAGTGTTTCTCAACCCTGGCCACTTGAAGATGGGTGGACTTCAACTCCCAGAATTCCCCAGCCAGCCATGGAAGTTGAAGTCCACCCATCTTCAAGTGGCCAAAGTTGAGGAACATTGCCATAAGGACTTCAACAACTTTTGATTTACATTCCCAAGAGACTGTAGAGAACATTTGAGGATGGAAAATATTTGTTGACATCTTGCTGATGTAACTCACCTGAAGCCTTGAAAGTTATGCAGCCTATAAATAAGCCTGTTCTAATAGCCACTATTACAGCAACCTTTGGATAGAAATAAACATGTAAAGGGAATTCCAAACAAATACAGGGATGGATCTCTACATGAGGGAATGGACCCGTCAGTGTATTTTTTTTAACCTTTGCCTCACCTAATCATACTTTACAAATCTCTACATATTCAGTTGTCTTAACAGATTTACTTTACCAAATGGTATATCTAAGACATCAGATGGGAAAACAGAACAGACCAGCATAAATCAGAGAGGGCTAGCAGTTTGGGGAATGTTTAAGAATCTCCAAACAATCCTTTTCTGTAGATACCACCCACCCCTGCATTTTGACTATTTCAATAAAGACTGAATAGAATCACTGTATTTAAAGAGGTAACGTATTGTGGAGTCAAAGCCATAGACTTTCAAAAGAGTTTGGCTTTCTGCAGGCCAAACATCTGTTCTCCCACTGAGCAACAGCCTTCTTCCTAATACATATAACAGGAGTGGAATTGAGAAGCTAAGATTGGGATATGAAATCCCATAGCTTTAACTGTGTCTAGTGGCCATAACTAAGCATTGGGCACTCGGATCAATGGATAGAAATAATGTATTATTTGCTATTAACTCATTATTACCAGGATGATAGAAAAAATACTAGTGAAGGATTGGTCCCCCGCCACCCCAGGAATGGATGCAGAGAAAAATCATGCCAGTCCTCATATACTGCATCAAAGGCACTATCCAAGAGATACATATGACATAGGAAAATTTCCCATTGTGGCTGTAATAGTATCTGATGAAGTCTGAGTTGCTAGAGGGACAAGGGCAGAGATATTTCTTCACCTAAGAAGAAAATAGTGCTTTCCCACTATTTAGAAAATATAATAATCTCATAACTATATCATGCAATATATCTTCTTTGACATACCAATTCTGAGAACAAATCCAAGCTTATTTATTGATGAAGGAGGAAAGCAACCATGATTGAAAGAAAGCCTCTTTCTCAGTTTAAGAAAGTGTCTTGGATAGGTTAGATTAAAGTATAATTTATTGCAAAATTGTTATAATGAGGTGATATTGTGAGAATAAGTGGTAGCAAAGAATATTTTCCCCTGGTTTATCTTAAGGATTAAAAGAATAATACAGTGTCAGCCTTGATATATGCTCTTTATCCTCAGTAATCCTATTATTAATAATGCTGCTGCCACCATTAAAAAAACGATAATATCCTAATGAATACAAGCTCACTGTGACTAAGGAGAAGCTAACTTGCCCTCAACTGGTCATGTTTTGGAAAATGAATGTAATGTTGTCTTTTATCCTGTCAAGGAAGGGATCAGGGAGATTTTTGTGATCCACACAAAAGTGTTTCCATTGCATCAGCTGTGACATAGATAGAGACTTTTTGGATTTCACATCACTTTGGCTACTCTGGCAGTCTTCTTCTACAGGACAACCTGAGAAAAATAAGAGGAAGAAAACATAAGCTGGTGAGAAATATTAAACACTACTTGAACATTTAGAAATAAAGATGCGTATGCCTGTGAAAAAATCCCTTTGTTTGAACTCAGGTACTCTAGATGTATGAGAGAAAGAGCAAACCATGATTAAGAGCCTTGTTGGATTAGTCTTCTCTAATCTGACATCCTGTTTCCCAGAGTGCTTAACAAAAGACCAACAGTCCTCTCCCATTTTTTCTCCCTGCAGCGGGTATCAGCTGATTATTCTACCCAGTAGACATCAGACTAGTAGATCCTGGTAGCTTATTTTTCACGACTTTGTTAATCCCCCTCTGAAACACAGAGGGATCCCACTGTTTTGCAGCTCTAAAACTCAAGACGAGTTACCAGATGAGTAACACTGGAGGGATTTTCTATGTTTTGGGGGCTCAAGAATAAGTAAAATAGAATGAAATCAGCATATATCATCCGAAATTTCTACTTTTAAGAATCAAACTACTAAACTGGAAAAGTAACTAAGTATTCCAACCCAAACCTCTCCAGTGATATCACATTGCCCATAGCCCTGCAGCCCTGCAGCCCTCAGTGTCTGAAAATTGTTTCTGAAAGTGCAGCTGCTGGCTGTAAAATGGCTACTGACTCTTATTTTGTCTAGACCAGTGGCTGTTATCACATCTGGAACATCAAATTCATCATTTATCTAAGCACAATGTGAAGAAATATTTCCTTTTGCCTGCCCTGAATCTATTACCTATAATTAAAACCAAGTTAAATATTTGCACAGAATAACTTAGGTTTCAACCCTCCATAAAGAAACAATATATCAATGTTATAAAATTGCTCATCAAATCCACCAACCCCAATTTCTGGAACAGAGGGGCCTGTAAGGAGGAGGGGGTCAAAAAAGTCAAGATGGCAGCCACAACCATACAGTCAAAGCTGTACTCTTTTTTATATGCATTGTGGCTTTGATTGTATAGTTGTGGCCACCATCTTGACTTTTTTGACCCCCTCTCTGCAGGCAACCGTTCTGCAATTTGGACAGAAAAAAGTACAGTTAGCACTAAAACTGTATCCCATGTATGAAATAAGACAGGAGCAACTCAAAAAAGGTCACCTTGATTATCTTTCTTTCCCATACAATTACACTCCAGCAAATCATGGGTCACGCAGTTGGAATCTTCATGCAACGTAAAGAGGTTTCTAAGTTCTTCAATAGAAAAACGGATGTGCTCAGATCCCTTGGAAAAGTCTACCACTGCCCCAGAGAGGCCCTGCTTACTGATCTGTCTCTGATAGATCTTCTCCTCTATTGTGCCTGCATTAAAGGAAGCATATGAACATTCATTATTCCTGAAAATAATGAGCAGAAATAAGCAACAAGTATACATTCAAGAATGGTTGAATCCAAAGTTACTTGGTACTAATCTGATGGGGGGAAAAGCATTACGATTATGAGGTAACAGACCTGTAGTGAGTAGTCTGTAAATGTGCACTGTATGCCTCTGTCCATCTCTCCAGACTCTGGCCATTGCCTACAAGAGAGAATGAGGCAATAAAAATGATTGGTACGGCCTTCCAGCTAATATGCTTGGCAATATTATTTCACTCTGTTTGCTGTTTCCTAAAATTTGGTTGCCAGATCTTGCTACAGCCAAGCGCCTGTTTTACTATGAGTGACTTCATGAAGAAAACAAGGAAAATGTAATTTTTTGCAAGTTTTTGGCTGATTGACTAATTGTGTGCCATCAAGCCAGTGTTGACTCTTAGCAACCACATAGATTGATTTTCTCCATGACAATCTGTCCCTAACCTGGCCTTTCAGGTCTTCCAACAGCATACTCATCACCAGTGTAACTCAGTCCATCCACCTTGCTGCTGTTTGTCCTCTCCTTCTCTTTCCTTCCATCTTTCCCAGCATTACAGATTTCTCAAGAGATGTTGCAGGTTTACTCAAAATTAAATGGATTTATCCTTGAACTAAACACCAAAACTACAGGTAACATGAGAATTCCATTAGTGGACATCTCAATTTCTTTTATTTTTCTGTTTTTCCTCTCCCCAGAACATGTATGTTGGGAAGGATTTGAATGGAGGCTGAAGCTGAGGATGTTTAACCATCTGATAAAAATCAGTGCTTCTCACTGAAATGTCTATTCACTACAAGGAAGAAAAATATATACTGCATTTGCTAATAGAAGCATCAAGGAAGAGGGAAGTTATATCAACCCTACAACATGAATGGTTAAAACTCCATGACATAGCCCCACTCCAATCAAGACTCCCCACAGCTGCAGTTTGCAGAAAGAAGTGGGAATCTCAGCTGAGGGAACTTTTAACTCTCAAGTGTTAACAACAAGGAGGGTTCAAACTGAGAGCTCCAACAAATTCCCCCTGCCTGATTTTGCACATAACTTGCATACCCCACAAACTTCACACACAGAACTTGGATGAGTACAGAGGGGTGAACATCACATTCATTTGCACATGTGAAGGCTTCCCTGTGGGCCAGAACCCTGAAAACACATGGTTCCAGGCAAAGTGGGGCTCTGAGAAAGCACCCTTGCTACATTATTTTGTGTTCTAGGCCTATAGTTGGAATGGTAGATGTAACCCAGGGGCTGGAGCTACTGAGTATAGTCCCACTTGCATATAAACTACCTACTTTCATGAGTGACTGAATAGAACATTAGAAAGACACTAATAATATCAGTGGAACCCCATGTCATAGTTGGGTAACAAGTTCATTAGGATCAACCAAATCTTAACATTGATTCCAACTGCAACACACCCAAATCACCACAATTTTGCAAACTGGATTGCCAAACTCAGTTTGACATTTCCTTTATTTTCTTCTTTTGAAATGACAGAATCTGTACTTTTTTTTCCTTATCCCTTCACTACTCTTGGGTAGAAAACCATGGAAATGCACATCTCCACGTGATCACGGCAATTTTTTTCCCCCACACATCCAGTTTTCACATTGAGTTTTGCCTTTACCATAGGTAATCCTCAGCATGAGGCAATTATGAAACAGAGGCTCCTGGCCACTATGTGAAATACTATCTGGGATTCAAAGAACAACTTTATGACTAGCCTTACAGTTCATGTTTTCTTAACCACAATTTACTGAAGAAACCACAATTGGCAGGGTTCATACATCATGCTAACTTCTAAACAAGCAACTCACATTCTGGTTTAATGTAATGTGTGAATCCCTGTCTATGGATCAAAGGACTGGACACCTCTTGTAACATTTATTCCTTTCTTTAATAGCAGGTTCCAATACCAGAAACCATCCATTGCTTTTCAACGTACTTCATTTTCAAAAGCAGCTTGCTTGGAGACGTGAGGTGTGCAAAAATAGCTGCACTATTTTGGGCTCTATCCAATATTTGCTGATCAAACAATACCGTCTAACAGGTTTTTCTTACTGCTGGCACTGCTACTGATATTTTTTTTTCACCTGGTGAGAACCAGGTGTCATTAGACAGATGTCTGTGTTGCAAGACAACAGAACTATCAAAGGACAAACAGCAGGTGAGACCCAATTGAGTGCCTATGTTTATGAAAATACAGCAGCAGGATCAAAGACAGGCAAAAAGGGTTTGATTTGTGTCTCAAACGGCAATCAAATTCTATATCACACTATAACATAATAGCTGTAACATAGTTATGGGAGTTCCATGGAACCTCACTTCTATGTAGGCCAAGAATAAACAACTACAGCCTTCATGTTTGTCAAATGTGTTACTAAGAACATCTGGTTATGAATATACTGATCCATATAGCCATTATTTCTGTTTACCTGCTTTTGTAAATGGTAGGATTTTAAAAAATAGTGTCTAATTTCTCATATTAGGGGGACGCGGTGGCGCAGCGGCTTAATGACGCTGAAAGTTGCCGGCCAGAAATGGTCGACGCTTCAGCGGTCCGAGTCCAGCCTTAGCGTTAACCAGGGTGAGCTCCTGTTTCCTCCCCAGTTCCTGTCAACCCAACAGGTC